TTCCCTTCCCTTCTTCCCTCCCTTTGTAGTTCTATGAAGGACTTGCCATTTATAAAGCAGTTTATGAAGACACTGCATGGTGATTAATGTCACCCCTTTGAGCATTTTCACCTGTCCCTCTCCTATGTACCCCTTTCCTTGCTTTTCTTAATTTTGTAGGCTATGTAGTATATTCCTGACTACATTCTCCTCCTCTTCCCTTCATTCATCCATCCCTTTCCCCTAGATCCGGCCCCATCTCTTTCAAGTACCTTCTTTCTGGTGTGTATTTGGTTGAATTTCGACTTTGTCTTTCTAAGGAATTACACTATTTGAGTTCTCCCTTGAAAATCTTACAATGTTATGCTTTAAATTCAGCTCCTCTCATAATTCAGCTCCTTTACAATACCAGTATAATAACAAGTAAAGAAAATTCTAACAGTGAGTACATAAAACCATAAGATATCTAGTGAGTATAGAGAGATTTCTGTTGGTCTTAAGAAGACATACATTCTTTAGTTAACAGGGTGGATAAATGAGCAACTGTATAAGTTCTTTACATTGCAAATGGTTGACATATTTTTCACATCTCCTTTTAGTTTTGCTTTTTGTTACCCATGCAAAGTAATTGTCGAAGAAACAGAAATATTTTACTCTAAGGGAAACTAGTGCATTCTGCCATTGCATCCTGTCTTTATTGTTAAGTTTCTCTGCCCCACATGTCTCTGTGAATCTGCAGTGGTAGCAGGAGACCTGGTTAGAGTCAGGCTTGAAGTGTTTTTCTTGCCAGTGTCATGGTCATGCTATAGAGTCTCATCATCAAACAGAGAATGTTTGCTTGGGAAGTAAGGGGTTATTCATGATAACTATCTGAATCTACCTATTCATTCATGAGTGCAAAACCGAGAGTTTAGAAATTTTTACTCTTTGTTCCTATAATGCAATGCTTTGGTATAAACTAACTTTCCTTCATCAATCATTTGGATATCTTCTTGAAAATGCAACCCATTTAGATAAGGCATAATAACAGCTTCCGCTACCACCCCCTGATTTTGGGTGAGATTAGTGGGTTGATCTTTTACACCCAACTAGTCATCCATTGATCATTCTAATGGACGCAAAGAGGCTGCATTTCTGCTTTGTTATTCCACGAAGTAGCATTACATTCATACACAGATTTGAACATATTTGATGTATGTTCATTCATGGTAGCTTTTACCCTCATAACTGGTAGAATTTTGGCCTTTCAAGTCTTGGGAAGCCTATTGAAGAAGGTGGATTCCTGAGTTCATATAGTATCTGTCACTCAGGTAATCTTTGGAAGGTATTTACTGTGTGTAGTCAAAAACGACTTCTTTCCCTAGCATCTTTCCATAGTTGTGGGAATCTTTCATGTGAACTCCAGCATGTGTTTACAGAGAACACTGCTAAGGAAACATTAAAGAAAAAAAACTGTATAGTGTGAACTCACTTGAAGCTTCCAACACATCTACAGGACTCCAGGCTCTTTCTTAACATTTTCCAATTTTATGTTTTCTCCCTTGTGCAGAATCCGAGTCTCTACAGGTCAATGTAATTAATCCTGCAGCACACACTCCATCATTTCCAGCTCCATGAAACCTAGTTTCTTGTGATTATTGAAAGTCCTTGAAGATGAACTTTTGGTCCTCAGGATATGTGATTTTATTGAGGAAATGAAGCCAAATTATGTTTTAAAATCATTAGAAAGGATTTCCTTCTGTGTAGTTGTGTCACCAACCCAAAATTATGTTAATTTTAGTTGTTTTCATTAAGCTTTTGATCTTTAGAGGTTCAAAGTGAAAGTAATAACACAAGAATATTCAGAGGGATCTGTGTTTGCTCTCAGTTTTTTCTACCCTCGTCCCTGTCTCTCTGCATTTACCCAAATCCTCTATCTATCTATCTATCTGTCTGTCTGTCTGTCTGTCTGTCTATCTATCTCACAGTCCATTGTTCCTTCATAATAAAATCCTTGTAGATGTATACACACACAAATATGTTCCTAGCCTCTTGGCTATGAGGTTACTTCTTGGTGGAATAGTTTTTCATCAGGTTGGGCCATGTGGTTTTCCATTGTGATGCACTCCAGCCTTCTCATTTCCTTGCCATTGAAGGATTCTTGGTTATGTTCTGTCATTACTCCACAGTGAATAATGCCCCTGCAAACATTGCTTAAATTGTTGGCACAGTGTTACTAGAAGCAATTCTTAATATTGGGTTTTCTGTGTTAAAGGCATAGGTGTTTTGGTTAGATGTGGAAGGGAATCCTGTATTTCTATCATTCCAGTGTTTGTCTCACAGAAGGTTTTTCTAGCAGAGAGGTCGTAGGCTTTAGGATTGGGTCTAGACCCATTGTTAATAAATCACATCCGAGACTTCTTTTTAAATTTTGTTTTATTGTAAAGGTGCTGTACAGAGGGTTAGAGTTACATGAGTAAGTTAAAGAGAACATTTCTTGTCAAACATTTGCATTATTTTAAAATTTGGGCTCTTGTTCTAATGGACATATATTATGAGTAGTGTCTATGCTACATATTGAAGCAGTAAAGGCAAAAGCTTCCTCTTCTGTTAATGGAGTTTGGAGTACATTTAGGACTGTGAACCAGATGGTCTTTGTGTCAGACTGTCACATGTCTGTGTTGAGTTCTGTGGAGGCTAGAAGAGGATCATGCAGGCTAGACAGCCCAGGCTATAGGAGGCAGGTAAGGGATGCACCTAAGATAAGTCTATCTTAGAACAGAGTCCCAAATGAAGGCTGGAAGGTGCTTATGAAACTCAGGATGGTGCTGATTTTTTAGGGAGATGAAAAGAACAAGTATAAGTCCTGAGGTGAGGGATGTAGTATCACAGGTTTTGGCAAATGCCCTGTACACTAAGTGGGACATCTTTAAGTTTAAGTCCTGGGACAAATGCTGAGGATTGGTGAGGACTCGGTAATTGCATGGCATCCACAGGCACCTGAGCACTCTTGTTCTCTATCTGGAGGATGACCAAGTTGGTGGCAGGAGGCTGCTACCTGATCTCTGCAATCAAAGGCAGCAGGAATGAGGAGCTGAAGTCAGACAGGGTGGCAGAATATAGGGAGGCAGAAAGGCAGGGTGCATTCTGGGAACCTGAGTTAACTGGCTCATGGTTTCTTGGATGTAGGACAGCTGGAGGAGGAAGCTCTGAGGGAAATAGGCCCATTCTTGGATCTTGATTCCAGTAAAATCTTGAAAAGGAACAAAGTGAGAGATAGGCAAAGCCTGTAGTCCTGGGAGCCGCCTGCCCAAGGGTTTATGGCGTTGAAAGCAATCCACCTGGAAGCTCGGAAAAGCAAGCTTTCTGAGAGGGAGGCGCCCCCCGAGTCCGATGACACAGCGCTCAAGGCAGAGATGTTGGGCAGAAGTAGAGGATGGACCTTTCCTGCTTTTTCTGAGACTTTATGTATATAACTGAAGGTTGTAGGTGCTTGAGCCTGAGTCAGTCATGATCAATCAGCTTTCCATAACAAATGGGTATAAAATGTGTGGCCCAAAGCTCAGAAATAACTCCTCTTACAGCCTCGAAGGCTGGCAGTCCTCAGGCAAGGGCCATGCTCTCCCTGATGGCTCAGGACAGAATCCCTCTTTGCTTCTTTCTAGGGTTTTGTGATGTCAGCAAGCCTCAGTTTATAGGTTCATAATACTGCGTCCACATCCTTGATCTCATGATGTTCTGAGTCTGTCTCTTTGCATTTTCCTTTTCTTCTAAGTTCTTCTGTTGTAGTTAACACCAACTACAATTCAACATAACCGCATCTCAAAGGGTACTGTTTCCCAGCGATGCCACACCACGTGTGCCAGTGCTTATGTCTTCAATATGACATTTTTTGGAGGCTGTAGTTCAACCTGTAGCATGATATTTCTCAGCATAGATACAGGGAAAGGCTGGTGAAGAAACCAGATAAGTGGGATGATATAAGTGGGCTGGTAAATGAGATATAAAAGAAGAGGACTATTAGGGGGATTGAAGAGAGGAAGCAAGTTTTAAAAGGTCATTATTGAAGCATCTTTAAATAGTGTTGGGAAGCAGTAGGTTAAGGAAAAGCTGCAATGGGGAGAGAATTAATCAGGCCCTCATATCACTATGCTATAGGATATGGGAGGATCTTGA